TAGTCACTCTTTAGTGTGGTATTTTTTGACAATATTCACTCATCATGACAGTAAAATAGGGCATTCTAAGTCAATATACTGCAGTATTTCCTCTCTCAATCAGTAGAAAATATGGTTAACACCTGGTCATACATGGAAAAAAAAAATAACGTCATGTACCGTGAAACCGGTATAGTTTTGAAAAATATCGTGATATAAATTTTTGGTCATACCGCCCAGCACTACATTGAGGTATGTGCAACAAATTACGTGAAAATGGTTTCCTGTACGATTTAGATCTGTCTCACTGACAGAACAAATTTCAGTGTAAATAAAGGCATTCTTGCATAAATTCAAAAAATATAAATGGTTCAGAAATCCGTTCTTTTATAATTTGTCGTATTTGATTCTGTTGTAGTCCACTCTCATATAAATTGTTGCATTTGGTTCAACATTTGTAAAGCTATTACTAGGTAAATTGCTGTTGCATTCAATTCAGTTTTTCGTGAATCTGTTGTGTATATTTTCCATGTTCAACTCAACTGTTCGTAAATCCATTCTTGCGCAAGTTACGACATTTAGTCAAATTGTCAAATCCATTTTTACTGAAGTTGTTGCATTAAATTCAGTTTTTCATAAATGTATTATTGTGTATATCGTCATGTTCAACTTAGTCGTTTGTTAATCCAGTCTTGCGTAAGTTACATTCAATTTCTTTGTTTGTAAAGCCATTAATGTGTAAAGTGTTGCATTTATTCAGTTTTTCGTAAATCTATTATTCTGTATATTGTCATGTTTCACGTTCGCAAATCAGTTCTTGCGTAAACTGTTGAATTTAATTCAGTTGTTCATAAATCTGTCATTGTGTACAGTATATTATTGCGTTCAAGTTAAATGTTTGTAAAAAACGTTTTTGCAAATGATGGCAGTCAGTTGTTCGTAAATCCATTCTTGCATGAATTGTTGCATTTATTTCAGTTTTTCATAAATCTGCTGTGTATATCGTTGCGTTCAACTCAGTTGTTCGTAAATCCATTTCGTAAATCCATCCACCACATACGTCAGTCCTGGTAGTGTTTCATTAATGATTGGATGGAGACATTCACCACATGTGGTGCTAACATTTGCATTTCGCTTTGTGTTTTAGCTTTCCAGTTCCTCCAGCTTCAATGGTGAGCTGCTGCTCAGCGGAGCTGGGGACCAGACACTTCCTCAAAAGTCGCACCTGCGGGCCTCTCTCTCCGCATCCCCCGCCGACTACCCGGAGCGTCCCGAAGTCCATTCGCGCCGCGAGAGCTCCTGCAGCACCCTACCGGCCAAGACAGAGGTTCCCATCCATCTCATCAGCACCACAAACCAGCTGCACAAGCAGGGCAGCGTCCAGCAGCAGATACCGACCAAACTCGCCGCCCTCAGCAAAGGCAAGGAGAAGAGCGGGAAGGGCAAGAGTTCGCACCGCACCGACAGTTGGGGTTAGTACTGGTCCGTTTGCGACCAACAAAAGACGTTCCTTGGGAGCGAATTTGCCGATTCCTAAATCCATCTTCGCTTTTTCGTAGCTTCTGTTGACATGAAGCAGATGCTGCCCATCAAGCTGTCATCGAGGGATTCGGACGGAGGTCACAAAGCACGCCGGCCCATCAGCCCCCACCAACCTCAACATTCGCACTCAGGTAAGACAATATTTCAATTGTTTAAAATGGTAGTGTTTTTGCTTTAGTGTTGGTGTTTGTGTTTTTAATTTATTTTTGATAAAATGAAGAAAAAAAAATAGCTGTGTCTAGGCAAGGCAAGGCAAGGCAAGTTTATTTGTATAGCACATTTCATACACAATGGTAATTCAAAGTGCTTTACATAAAAGAAAAGAAAAAAAATAATCACAACAATAAAACAAGGAATTTAAAAACATTGAAAATGATTAAAACAATTGATTTAAGAAGTTTAAAATGAATTTAAGAAAACGATTATACATAGAATATAGTGCAATCAGTTCGGACATCGCACAGTGCTCATTCAATGAATGCACAGCTAAACAGATGAGTTTTGAGTCTGCATTTAAATGTGACTAATGTTTTAGTACATCTGATCTCTTCTGGAAGCTGATTCCAACTGTGGGCGGCATAATAACTAAAAGCAGATTCCCCTTGTTTTGTGTGAACCCTTGGTATTTCTAACTGACTTGATCCTAATGATCTGAGTGGTCTGTTAGGTTTATATTCAGTGAGCATATCTGCTATGTATTTAGGTCCTAGGCCATTGAGTGATTTATAAACGAGTAAAAGTACTTTAAAATCAATCCTAAATATAACTGGAAGCCAGTGTAAGGACCTGAGGACTGGTGTAATATGCTCAGATTTTCTGGTTCTAGTCAGAATTCTGGCAGCAGCGTTCTGGATGAGCTGCAGCTGTCTAATGGTCTTCTTGGGAAGGCCGGTGAGGAGACCATTACAATAGTCCACCCTGCTAGTGATAAACAATTTGTTACTGTATTACAGTAATGAGAATTAGGTTTGTTTGTTTTGTTTTATTGCATTACGATATTGAGAACTTTTAGGAGGAAAGTAGCTATTACTGTCTTTTTTTAGAGAAAAAAAAAATGACATTAATGTACACAGTTCCATTTAAGATTAGTGCCAAATATATTTAAATATTGTGGTAGATGTATACACAGTTTTTATTTTTTGTTTGTTTTTAACAAACCTAACTTAGTTTCCTTACCCATCCTAGTTATTTCCACATTCAAGAAGAAAAGCTTTGTTTTAATCTTGTTTCCTGTAAACACATTTCACATTTTTGCATTTCCTCCATTCTTATGACTCACGTTCATTTCATTCCATGTCTAAATTAAGTCGCTAAAGTTGTCAAGCATTTCCTCTGTTCTCAAGCTGAACACACAAACAGCGTGTGTGATGTAATACTTTGGATTTCAGAGTAATGCCACCAAAGACTAGGATTTAAACCACTCCGTTTCTAAATCTAACCCATGAGCTGTGAATATAACGTATCTCTGATGTCCGTTTCCTGCGACCATGTGACTTATATGTATATGTTGTACATAGTTTCCTTTTAACATAGACGAGATGTAGATATTATGCAAGGATGTCTTATGGCCACTGAAATTACAGATGGATCATTTGGGTATAATTTGTTTGTTTCATTTTGTAAGCACTTTTTTTGAAAAATTAATCTGTCATTGAGTGTTTTTCAGTTCAAAAACAACCCATAATGCATTGCTTTTGGATAACCTTTGGATTCACCTATTCCACTTGAAGTATTTTTGATGTTATGTTTATAAAAACGGCTTGATTTGATATTCATCCTACATTTGAGTTTCTAGGTCCAACGCTTTTCCGTGGTGCAAGTGAAGGGATATTTTCACACTGTAGCAGATCGGTTTTGACTCTCAATGATGTGTAAATAAACGTCACATGATGTTGATGATCTAATATCCAGTTACACTAGCCACTTTTCAATACCAGCGAACTTTAAGGGGGACCTCAAGTGTTAATATTTCTGATGTTTTGTGTCTTAAGTTTTTAGCACGCAAGGCCAGTTTTTTTTCTACCACAGCATTGTACTCACTCTACCGAAGAAAAATAGAAAAACTTGTGAACACTTAAAACTGCTGCCTTTAGAGACATTATATTAATAAAATATGTGGGGAAAAATCTGACTCTGAGTCTTTACTCTTATTCAAATCTCATTGTATCGGTGTATGGGAAAAAAAACTTTTGAAGAGCACACTTCATAGAATACTGTATCCCACAATGCAATGTGCCCAACCTGACCTTCCGTTTCCTGTGCGACGAATGAACCGTAAGTAATCAAGTGCAATGTCGAACGTATTTTTTGACTCCTTATTTGCAAAATCCTACAATATTTTTACGCAAAATTAAAAATGGAAACTAACAGTTTCATGTGCGAAATAACTTGGAGGCCACTCAGTTGATTAAACATAATATAACAAGGTCATGTGACAAAAATGTGGAATAATGCTTTTTAAAATGTTTACAAATGCATAATGTACAGTTTTAACCATATTTTCCAGAATATGAGTCGCATTTTTTATCGTCTGAAATGAATGGACTAATAAATTACGTTTGTTTCATACTGAACTGTCTGAATACTGTATATCTGTCTGAATAGTTACGTTTAAAGGATTTTTTTGTGGAGTGAGGGGAACTAATCACGTTTGTAGTGTTTAGAATGTTTCAACATTTCATTTTAAGGTATTTGACATTATTTCTTATTGTAATAAAATGACTTCTAAATTGATGTGACTTATCTGTGTTTTTTCATTTCTCACAACAATGCAATTTTTATCGTTGCACCTTCCAGAAAAAGCACTAAGTATCTTTTTTTATATAGTACCCAATATCCACCTTATTATTCAATGCAGATGTAAGCTTTTTTTTCTTCAAATGTGCGAGACTTCTGATTCATTAGAAAACTGCAGTGCTGTAAACTGTGAAAATATTTGCGCTACAAACCAGTGTTTGTAATTAAGACAATTTATTAAAATACTATGATAAGAAATATCAGTTTGAAATATCAAGCAGTATAACGAGCAATTTTTTTATCGTTATTAATGGCTGGAAGCGAATGAAACCGGAAGTCTCGCACATACAAGGTGCAAAATAAGGCGGAATACAGTAGTATATACTGCGTAGTACGCTACTATTCCGTTTACGAACAGAGCCTATACCTTGCAATTGAAGTTGACCACAGAGGAAACTGAAAAGCATGTAAAACACTGTAGTGATCAGTGCTTATGTTATTCTAAGTTCTCTGCTGCGCGCTATCTTCGGACAATATGATTTTATTTCCATCTCCCTCTCTGCTCGTGTTGATTCTGGCCCGTTTCTCACAGGAAAACAGACGGAGCACAACTTAACAGGACCTGGTGTCCGTCTCTCAGGCCATGCTAATTGTAGTGCTGTGGCGGAACACGGCTATTTTCAGGTGTTGTGGTTTTCCTTTTATCCAATCCGGATCTGACAGCCGCGTGTCCCGTAATTCTTTACCAGATGATGTCTTTTGCTTTTGTCTTTGGAAATGGTTTTCTGTCTTCCGTCTGTGTCCTGTGCTTGGCTCATTTTAAACGCAGTGCTACGAGACAACCCCTGTCTGGTTCACAAGTGTCTGTAGTCACGTCACGTTTTTAATTGTAGTTATTTTCTGCAAAGACCTCTGTCCGCAAAAGAAAACAAACCCATGCTGCTGGCTAGTTGTCTTAGCTGTGAAAGTAGCCAGAATTTCACTGGCAATTTGAAGAATTAGTCACGCTAAATAACTGCTCCAGACAACAAAATTAGTAGGGATTATGTGTAATGTAACATGCTAATATATTGTTTAGTATAGATTGGTTAATTTGATTATATCACTGTACTTGTTGTGCCATATTTATCAGTCTTGATCACTTAGCTACGGTATGGTGATTATAGACTGAGCATGTGAACGTTTTTTTTAGAATACCATTATGCAACAAAAATATGTTTGTCTTTAGGTCACATACTTTTTATATTTTTTTTTCTTTTTTTGTCACACTAACTTACCACATGACAGTTGTTGTATGCTGTTCCCGCCTCTTTTTGAATCAAATGTAACAGAAAAGTGACTCGCTTATTCAGTGAGGAAATCTGATTCAAGCTGCTAACTCGCAAAGCTTTAACTGATTAATAGGAGTCTTCTGTTCCCTAATTCAACATTTTAGCTTGCACCATATTTGCTGTAGCATGCAGGAAATGCTTGTGCAAGATGATGTTGGATTCAAGTATGGAAGACCATTTCCGCCACAAAAAAAAAATAGATAGGTCATGACTGTTTTTCTAGCAATTTTAAATCTATATCACACAATTCTGAGTTTATATTTTGCAATTCTGAGAATAAAACAAAAAATGTGAGCTATAAACTTAGAATTCTGACTTTCTCGTAATTCTGAGTTCATATCTTGCAGTTCTGATCTCTTAAATTTGAGTTTACATCTCATAATTCAGTTTTATTTATTTCACCATAGAATAAAAAATAAATTGCGACATTTTATCACAATTCGTTTTTCTCGCAATTACGAGTTTATCTCTCAAAATTCCGATTTCTCAGAATTTATATGCGATTTATCATCTCTCAATTCTGACTTTTTTTCTCAGAATTGCATAAACTCAAAGAATGAAAGCAATACTGAGAAAAGAAGTCAGAATTGAGAGATGATAAATCGCATATAAATTCTGAGAAATCGGAATTTTGAGAGATAAACTCGTAATTGCGAGAAAAACGAATTGTGATAAAAAGTCGCAATTTATTTTTTTAAAAGTCTGAATTGTGAGATATAAACTCAGAATTGTGATAAAGTGAGTATTGTTAGATATAAACTCAGAATTGTGAGGGGAAAAAGTCTGAATTGTGTTAAAAAGTTGCAAATGCCTTTTTAGTTTTTTTTTTTTTTAATCTGTGGCGGCAACAGGTTTACTTAATAAAGTGCATATGGATCTACAAAAAGTATTTCAAAAAGTATTATTAAATTTTTGTCGCAGTTTTTTATTTATGTGAATAATTAATTTGAATAAATTGCAAGCAGTTTAGTCACAGCTAATGCGGAGCCCTGCTTTTGACTAGAATTCTAGCAGCGTTTATTTTCCCTTAATAATGTAAGAACTTCCTGCAATCTGCCTGTATT